TGTGTTACGACATGGCTGTGAATGTGTGTGTGTTACTACATGGCTATTAATATGTGTGTGTGTTACTACGTGGCTATTAATATGTGTGTGTGTTACTACATGGCTGTTATGCGTGTGTGTTACCACATGGATGTGAATATGTGTGTGTGTGTGTTACCACATGGCTGTGAATGTGTGTGTTACTACATGGCTGTTAATGTGTGTGTGTGTGTGTGTGTTACCACATGGCTGTGAATATCTGGGCTAAATAGACCTTATTTTCATCAACTTACATTTAGCCCAGACTACCTTAAATCTGGCAAGTTATCTGGCTAAGCAAGTAATCCTGCTTTGTGAAACAGGCCCCTGACCTACAGGTTATCCCAAAAACATGCATACACACCGGCCCTTTGCAGATAAGATTGGCCACCCCAGGACTAGACCATATCATGCCTAAACATGAACCCCCACCACACATTTCAGAACAATGGCCGGGTCATTTTCTCTCAATTTAGAGAAGTATGGATGAAGTAGTCAAAATCATGATTATCAGGAGTTTTCACCAGAATAAAAAGTTTTTTTGGCCAAAAGTATGTGGACACCCATATTAATTCCATGCATTTTTTTATACCTGCTAGTCGTATACGGTGTCGCGGGGGTAATTCGCCAAAACTGGCCTTCCATACCCAACTGTTTTTTACGTTTTGTCACTATCTGTCACTATCTGGAGCTGCCTTCGAAATTTCGAAAAGCCACGAGTTCCACCGCCGGCCGACAGAGGGCAGTACCGCACCGCATATTCGCTAAGGTACAGGAGGAGGGTTTGGAGCCAGCGAGAAGTTCCTCTAAGGCTCAGCCCTCCCTTTTCGGTTCCGTCGCTTGCATCTCCGAATTGCACGCCGCGGCAGGGTCAGTGGTGCTACCGGGATGGCTGTGAATCTGAGCAAAAACGGTGCTGCGCTTACGGCTGCCTACAAAGACGTAGTGGACGAGAAGTCGCAGACCAACTGGTGAGAATCGGTGCGCGGGTTTGAGATGCTGGTGTGTCTTGATCCTACATCAGACCTCTGGGTTTCCTGCTTCGTCGTGCGAGTCTTTGTGTCAGGTCCTTCGTTCTGCATGACACATATAACATAAAATGCATATATGCCATGGTATACGTATTTTGAGTCTGTAAATAATTGTGCATACATGTATGTATGTATGTATGTATGTATGTATGTATGTATGTGTGTGTATGTGTATGTGTGTGTGTAGACTTGGCATTTCCTTTTTCCGAGTGACTTCCTGTTTTTGAGCAACAAATCTTTCGGTGGTTGTATGATTTAAATCGAATGGTCTGCATAAATCAAATGAAAGCAGTCCAAATACATTTAGAAGCACTGGCCAGATAACATTTAAAGGGCTTTGTGTGTGTTTGTGTTTGTCTGTGTGTGTGTAGTAAGATTGCTATGCTTCAAGGAAGAGCGCATTTCTCTTGCGCCCCTCCCTTTATTGCGACAGGTGACGAAGCAGAGTTTCTCGCTGTTCAAGTACATAGTTTGCTTTACTTTATGTGCTTGTATTTTGAGACATAAAATTATCAGCGTGTCCTGCTTTGTCACTGACCAATACATGACTTGTGCTCTTCTACCTCAGAGGAAAAGTTTTATTACTGTTCCTTTCTACGGACACGACAAAAAACGAAATAAGAGCGTGTTCTGGATGCGGTCCCCTGTCCCCCCTCCCCTCCCCTCCCCAGGGGACACATGCATTGGAGGTCTGAGTGATGTACAGTTGGAAAGTAAAATGCGTTGTTTTTAGAAAGCAGGCGTGGATTTTATCTCAGGTTTTAATTGTATCAAAGGTTTTGAATAATGTCCAGTGTTGGAGCATTTGAGCCTCAGAAGAAATCTGAAAGTTTCTCACATCATCCACCGGTTTTATAGGATTGTGAAGAACTATGAGGAACATGGTGACTTACCTTACAGTTTTTTATCTTGTACTTTTTTTGTAATAATGTGCATTGTTACCATAGTCGCATTAAACCTACCAAATCACTTTCACTCGCTTTTCCCCTTGTGGCTTTGTCTACGTGTATTTATTTTTGTATCTCTGTGTAATGGCGTCAGTATATTTGCTGTAGTGTATATTTTAGTACGCAAAGTTTAAATGTGGAAACAAAATGTTCACAGAGAAGGAACTATGTGGGGACCCCACACACCGCAGTGCAGAGGCAGCGGAAGGTGTGCGTCAACCACCGTGAACCGCCGTGCCAGCCAGCCCAGTAGCAGAATAACCGCTCCTCTATACAGATGCATGCTGTCCTCTCTCAACTGCTTACATGCCGCCTGAAACATAGACTGGCAAAGTCCCAGTTTATTTTCACTCTGAGCACTGAAGTCTAGGTGCTTGACTTAACTTGCTGGCCTATTACAGGTGGCTGTGAACTCCTTGTGCACAGTTCCGGTCCAGTTCTGTTTTCTCTTAAAGTCCTGTGTTCAGTCATGTGTCTGCGTCATAGTTTAGATGTTTCAGTTCACTCTTATCAGAAAAATGGGATGCTATAAGGAGGTTCCGCTAAAACGGATGAGGTATGGTCTTCATCAGTGGGAGCCTGGCTAAGCTCTGTGCTGAGCTCTATGCTGGAGAACCTAGCTGAGCTCTATGCTGGAGAACCTGGCTAAGCTCTGTGCTGAGCTCTATGCTGGAACTTGTTATGGTCAATCCCTAGCATGTGTTTCAGCTATTTCCCCTGCAGTTGCACCTATGTGCCTGCAGTGCTGTCAGAGGGGTGCTGGCCTGACACACAGCTACACTCTCCTGATAGCCCTCTGCACTTTGTGTGAGGGGCAATGCTTTCCGAAGCTCTGAATGAGGCACCGTTCTGTGTTGTCCTTTTTGGCTTTGAATGTCTGGGGAATTTAAAAAAAAGTGGTCGTCCTGCATCATGTTAATGTTTTCTGTGTTTTCCCTGTATTTTATTTTGTTTTTATTTTTTTGAAGGGCCTTATTCACATATGAGGGCAATACCAATGACATCCGATTGGCTGAGAAAGGAGGTAAATTGTTACATTGTTGTATTGTATCAGTCGATTAAGCTCTAGCTAAATGGCTGGAACTTAGCCATTTCCCTTCATTTTACTGTTTTTGCTCTGTGTTCTTGTTTGTGTTTATGAATTCTCAGGTGTGTTTGGTTTGACTGGGCAGGTGTCATAGCATTACTGTCTTAACCTACTGACTTTTCAGTATGTTGATGACATCCAAAGACCGAGTCGTATATTAATTGCAGTGTCCGATACTTTCTCTGACTTGTGTGTTTTGTGGCGTTTTAGCTGCCACTCAGTGGCAATTTTACGCCATTTTATCGTATTGGCACTGAATAAGTTAAGGGGATGGAGAGATCGGCAGTTGCATGGTATGATCACAAATATCGCTTGTTTGTGATTGTTTGCTCTGGTTATTTGCTTTTCAGAGGGTGGTCTGGAGGAGCTTGTGGAGGAGCTGAGCAGCGGGAAGGTCATGTACGGCTTTTGCCGGGTTCAAGACCCAAACTCCGGCTTGCCCAAATATGTCCTTATTAACTGGGTAAGTGCTACAGCTATAACTGCTCTGTGAATCACCAAGAAACTGCAGCCGGTTAAACTGGCATCAGGTTTGGTTTGCTGTTGTCTAAGATTTAACTCGTCATGTGAAGTTTAGTGTTTATGCCGTTTAATTTGTGTGTGTGTGTCTTTTAGACTGGAGAAGGTGTGAAAGATGCCAGGAAAGGACAATGTGCAAATCACGTCAGCTCCATCGGCAAGTTCTTAAAGGTACGGCGCAATCTTTTATCTCGTAGTTCCCTCTCTATACTACTAGGGTATAGCTGTTGTACATTGTTACATTTATACATGACCCCCCGCAAATGGGGGCCTTACAGTGGCTTTCTGTAAGCCACTTGATTGCATTGCAGGTTGTGTGTCACCATTAGCGTGCTTGAGAATTGATGTGGGTTGGGGTTTTCCAGCCCGTACACAGGATGTAAACAGCTAGCGGTTTTCCTGGAGTTATCCCTCAAAGTGAAACTATCTCGTGTCACATTTCATGTCCCTGTGACCAGCGTTCCTGTGAAGTTTGGTTTCCATTTTTGTTTTGTGTGGTGCTTTTGACTGTTAGACAAGCTGTTCCTCATAATGATACAACGAAAACTTTATCAAATTAGTACATGCAGTGTGTAAACTGTTCCCCCTAGGTTTTTTAATCTTATGTAGTGGCTGAATTTTATTTTTACACACACGCACGCACGCACGCACAAACATAGTTCTCAGTAAGTCTTGGGACATATGCTTAATTCAGTAATAATGTTGCAAATTTATAGGTTTTATAGTGGATGAACTATCCATTTTACAGCAGATGAACATCCATTCAGTGCAAAGGAAATAGTGCAAGACTGTACCGTATGGGTGCGTGTGCAATCTGTGATGGGCACCAATTGCAATATACACACACACACACACACACACACACACACATTATATATATATATATAAATTACTCGATTAATCAGTGGATTACTTGATTATTAATAGCATTGATAGTGATGGTCTGAAATACATCCCAGACCTTGATATGGACCGTTTTTGCAAGATAGTCAATATTATTCACTTCACACAGGTGCAGTCATAATGTTTTGGCTCATCTGCGTACATGCTATCCTCCAGATAGTATCTTCGGCAAATTTCAGTGGTGTAATTAAAGGGGAACTTGCTCCGTGTGTGTGTGGTGTCCTGTGCAGCAGTAGTGAGGTCCGTCGTTCGCCGACATGTGCTTTTCCCGTGCGTGATTGACGTTGCTCATGCTCCGCCCATGTCTGCCAAGCCGACTGTGTAACAGAGTAATGTGATGAGCAGGGTGCCCATGTCACCATCAATGCCCGAGCAGAGGAGGATGTCGAGCCGGAGTCTGTCATGCAGAAAGTTGCCAAGGCCTCAGGGGCCAACTACAGCTTTCACAAGGAGTCCAACCGCTTCTGTGACACTGGCCCTCGGGTCCCCGTGGTAAGGAGCCACCCCCCACCCCCCACTCGATGCCACACTCTTCTTACAAACCTTTAGTTAGTGGGTCAAACATTTACTTTCATTCGGTTCATTCTGTACTTTCACTTTTAATTTCATTCTTTTGTGCATCTCTCTTCTCATTAGGAACAATATTGACCATCAGGTTGGGGAATAATTTGGCACCTTGTTGGCTAAAAGCTGCCTTCTCCACATGGTATTTCTGGGGTGACAGATCTTGTGTATAGATCTCCCTCCCTGTCTCTCTTAAGGACCTAAAACAAGGAAACATGTTTGTTCCTGAAACCACAGTGTGTGTTAATCCTGTAATTGTGGCTGAGCCCATTCCATGCTTAAGCCTGGTGCCATCTCCTCCTTTGAGCACTCCAACATTTTTCAGTGGCTGGTGAAAACCCATTTGAGAGCTAGATGGTCAATTTGTGCTGCTTCTGAAATTAGTCCTCGAAAGGTGATGATACACGGGGCAACTTTTTCAGCAGTGTTGCTGTGCAATTGCCGACTGGGTGAGACGAAGGGCAACTCATCTGGGTCTGGATGATTGCCAAAAGTTGCCCACTGCCAGTTAAAGTTTTTCAAATAGAAATTTGTTGCCCAATGTCAATGGGAAAGTGCCCCAGCAATATTGGTCAGCAACATTACCTGGAGCAACATTTCTCAAAAAGTTGTCCTGTGTATCGTCACCCGAAGGGAGGCAAACTCAAAGGTGGAGCCACTGCTGGTGGGCTGAATGTCTGGATGTACTAAAATGTACCTTTTTTACCATTTTTGAAAAATCTACTCATACAAAAGTCCATATGAAGGTGGCTTTTATGTAATGGCTTCCAGCATCTTTAAACACAGATCTCCTGAGTGGAGGGGTGTGGATAACCTACTACAATCTCTGCTTTACTTACTAACTTTGTGTGAACTCTGTGGTATATTCTCATTTTTGTAGTACTGTATTACTATCTCTTGCTGTGTGTGTGTGTGTGGTCCAGATATACATTACATTGTGGGGACATTTGGTCCCCACAATGTGATGATAACCTGCTATTTTGATGTTGCGGGGACCCTTTTTTTTCGGTCTCCACAAGGATAAATTTTATTTTTATAAAAATCTGTGACTATAGGTTTTGCCCATAGAAATGAAAGGACGGTCACCACAAAGATATGAGAATAGATCTGTGTGTTTGCATGCGTGTGCGTGTGTGAGTGTTCGTGCATGTGTGTGTGTTTGCGTGCATGTCTGAGTGTATGCATGTATCTCCCTTTTCTCTATTCCCTTCTTTAAATGCAATCTTCCTCTGTATGTGCTACCAGATGTTTATCCTGTAGACAATGACTGCTGGGACTGAGTATTGCTATTGAAGGCCATGAATTAACATCTCAGTTGAACACTCTGATGGCTTGGAAGAGAAGTTGGCTGTTTACAAATGGCGATTGAGCCGAAGCTGCGGATTCCCAGGCCAGGGCTTCTCCAACTTCTCTGAACATAAAAACACCAACCTGTTTCCTCAGGGATCCGTCTATCAGAAGACCAATGCTGTATCAGAAATTAAAAAAACCAACAAGGACAACTTCTGGGCTCAGGCTGAGGTAGGAGGACATCCTGGCCACCAGAATTCAAAATTAAACTAACCAATTAGCACTTTTATGAAACGAATACTGTGTATTGTAGTTGTGTTTGTCTTGCCTGATTTAGTTCTTTTTGTGGTCATTTGGTGTTTTGTATGTGCTCATTTGGTGTTTTGTTTGTCCTCATTTGGTGTTTTGTATGTGCTCATTTGGTGTTTTGTTTGTCCTCATTTG